CTCTCTCTCTCTCTCTCTCTCTCTCTCTCTCTCTCTCTCTCTCTTTCTTGCATTTATATGCTGGCCCATAGCCAAAGGCTCTCTCTATATTCCGATTTGGAGAAAAGCCTGAGCAGGTGGGCAGGGCACTGCCTTTTCTTCTGTACCTTCACATGTGCAGAGCACTTGCTTTGATGCTGCACTGTATGTGAGGCAGCCCCGCCATGCGAGTGTGGCACTCATTCCCCCATATCCTTAATTGGCACCTGAAATCTTGAAGGTGAGGTGAGCGTGAGGTGAGCGAAGAAGGGAAAGACATTGCAGTGAAAAAAGAGGACAGGTAGATAGAAGACAAGAACCCCCTTCTTTCCTTCCAGCCATTTCATGGCTGAAAAAGTCCCTTTCCCAAGCTGCTTTTTCACGTGAAAACTAGCCACTGGGTGTAAGCTCACGGGCTGCTATGTCTCATTTTGTTAGTCCTCATGAGAATCATAGGATCACGCTGGAGATCATCTCCACTGCTGCGATTGCTATTACTTTGCTTGCATGCAGGAATCAGGTTCCTTTAGTTGCCCACTGGATATTTGACCAGCCTTCAGAGATTTACTGTAGTGTACTGTGAACTGCAAAGTTATGCATTGCAGTCTATCCCACAACTATGTCCACAGCAACAACTGTGAACAATTGCCTACTTCTGGCTGATTTCTCTTCCCCTTGGCAGCAGAGCTTCCAATAATCCTCTCCACGGGGCATCCACACTGGGATCCATGGATTTCTATGCAAGAATGTGCGTTCCTTACATGGAATGTCAATCTCCCTCTCTTTCTGTTGGGTTTATTGTTTCAGAGTAAGATTTACTCTTCAATTGCTAGAGTCATGAATTTCATCCCATCAAATCTCTCTAAAACCTATCAGAGTCTACCACTGAATTAGTATTTCAAGTTTATCCTAATTGCGTCTCATAGTAGATACACAGCAAGACCAGGTTTATTGTTCTTTCGCAATTCCCTGTTGTATTTGCCTGCCAATTACTGGGCATCCCCTCCAGTGGCCTGGTTTTTCCTTAGCTATACTTTTTGTCCCTCATCATTGGCTCTCAGCTTTTGCCTCCCCAACTGCTTTCGTTTAAAGCTAATCTTTTTGGGGTTACATGGTTCTTGCCAAGCAGATGCACCCGTCTCTGTGAGGTGCTGGAACGTCAGAGCAGAACACAGAACAGAGGTGCTGGGACTTCGGAGCAGGCTGAGAAAGCCTTCGGAGCTGCTCTTAGATGCTGCAATCCATGGTGGGCAAGGCCAAAGGGAAACTGGCCAGGCCCAAACTTGCCAGCATATTCCAGCTCAAATCTCTCATTCTTGAGAGCATTTTGGTGGGGGAAGCACAAGAAATGGGAAACCACCGACTTTTTCATCAGTGGTTGGGAGGAAAGGGGTGGAGGCGAGGAAGGGGCATGGTCAGCAGGGAGCTCAGTAGGGCTGCACTGCAGCTAGAACTCCAAGGTACATCACCCCTGCTCCAGACTGCAATCATGAGGACTTTCTGCATCCTGCAGCTTCAGAGGCAGAGTGCTTCTGAACAGCAGTTGCTAAGGAGCAGCAAGTTGAGAAAAGCCACCTGTCCTTTTGCAGCACCCTCACTTCCCTTTTACAGGGCCATCACTTCACAGGAAGGCTGTGAAGTTTAGAGACATTTCTCAGGATTCAAGGGTTTGGTACATACCTGAAGGAGGCAGTAAAGGCAGTGGCACACACTATTTTACAATTTACTGTCCTGTTCTGTGCTTTTGCAGCCACTCTAGCTGCTCGAGCATCCTGAAAAATCCCCTAGATGCCCTGCCCAGGACTTCCTGCCTTGGGGCTCTGCAGGGCTGCTTGACTGCCTCGTACTTGAAAGCTTAAGGGAGTCGTTAGATTTTTAGCAGCAACAAAACCAAACCTGTTCCACTTTCAGGAAGGAAGTCATGGTTAAGACTCCTAGCAAGCTTTTCAGAAAGCTAAAATAAAAATGGAAAAAATATCCAGCTGCTTACACTTGAGCTCTGCACACTGAGAAATTTCTCCAACAGTTTCCACCATTTTCGGGGCAGCTTCTTTTCTCCAGCCAATGTTGAAAATAAATGAAGTCAGCGGCACAGAGTTATTATTAATTGCTCAATCCACTGCTTTCCATTGGCCTCTGGTTGGCAGCAGATATTAGAAATGAGATGCTTAACTAGCCAAACCTTTGGTCTTGATCCAGTAGGGCTCTTCTTATATTCAATCCTGTGCACTTTTCAGAGTCAGCCCCACTGAATTCAGTGGGATTTACTTCTGAGTACACATGAAATGCTGTGACTTATTACTGGGACTGACTTGGGCTTGTTGCAGTAACATTGCCTCCAGAAACTTAAGTCACTGGCATTGCAGCACTGTGAAAGCTTGCTCAGAAGTAAGTTGACTTCAGTGTACTTTCTGCATAGCGCAGTGATTAGTGTTGGACTGGGACTCAGGAGATCTGGCTTCTAATCCCCCCCACTCAGCCGTGAAACTCACTGGTTAACTTCGAGCCAGTCCCTGATTCTCCTTCTAACCTACCTCACGGGGTTGTTGTGGGTATAAAATGGAGGGGAGGACAACCATGCACACTGCTTTGGGATCCCTGCAGGAGGGAGAAAGTGGCATATAAATATACGAATAAATAAAATAGATAAGTAGCTTGGAGAAAAGCCACAGACACCATTTCCGCCCCTCTTCGGAAGAGAGGCCACACACACGCACGAGCACCGCAGGGCGCACCAGCCAGAAAAGACGCCGCACACCCAGCCGAGGCCAAGTTCGACGGCGGGGCCTGGCAGCCTCTCACGCACGAGATAGGGGCGCGATCGTTGCCGTGTGGACGCGGCTGATAACGCCGCGGGCTCCCTCGTTCGCCGTCCCGCAGCAGCCGCGCTGCCTGGCCCCGCGCAGCGACTCTCGCAGCGTCGGGCTGCAGGGGCGCGAGAGCTACAAGCCAAGCGCTCCCCGGGCGCAGCGGACGGGAAGGCGCGGCGCTCGGCCGGCCAGCCGCCCGCCCGCCCGCCAGACCTCCTGAGCGAGGGAGATGCGGCGCGTCCCAGCGAGGGAGCGCGCGCTTCGCGGAGGGCGCGGCCCTTCTTCCCCTCGGCAGCCCGCGGCCAGCTTGCCCCGCCACGCCCGATCGCCACGCCCGCGCCCCATCCCCGGGCTCCAACATCTGCTTCTCATTGGAAGCCCAGCGGCTTTGGGACCAGCTCCAGCTTCTCTGCCCAGGCCTCCCCGCCGGTCCTCCCGCTCCCCCAACTGTTTCCCTCTCCCTTTCCCCCCCCCTCCCCCAGCACAGTCACAAATCAGGAACGTGGCCCGCGCGCGCCGCCCCTTCGTCTTGCTGCACCGAGGCTTTCCTCCCCGCTCGTCACCCCATCCACCCACCCACCCACCCGCCGACCCACCCGCCGCTGCCGCCGCCGCCGCCGCCTCTTTTGCAAGCCAGCCGAGCCGGCCTGCGGCTGAAGGGAGCCCCCTCCCCCGCGAGGGAGGGAGGGAGGGTAGGCCCAAGAGCGTCGGGATTGCGTTTCACGGCGGGGGCGGGACTGACTTATAAGAGCCACGCTCGGCCACCGCTGCGCTCTCCAGTGCCTCTTCCTGCAGCCAAGCGCACCGGCCGCCCAAGCGCTCCAAGTCGCCGCCGCACCGACTGCGCACCCCCCGGACTACAACAATGAGCTTCAGCAGCCGCCAGAGCTCCTCTTACCGCCGCATGTTCGGCGGCGGCAGCCGGCCCAGCGCCTCCGGCAGCCACCGCTATGTCACCTCCTCGAGCCGCTACTCGGTGGGCTCCGTCCGGCCGAGCAGCGTCCGCATGGTCTCGTCGGCGCCCGGCGGGATCTACGCCTCCAAGTCGGTGCGGTTGCGAACCAGCCTGCCTCCCATGCGCCTGGCGGGCGACTCCGGCGTGGACTTCTCGCTGGCCGACGCCATCAACACGGAGTTCAAGGCCAACCGCACCAACGAGAAGGCTGAGCTGCAAGAGCTCAACGACCGCTTCGCCAACTACATCGACAAGGTGCGCTTCCTCGAGCAGCAGAACAAGATCCTGCTGGCCGAGCTGGAGCAGCTGAAGGGGAAGGGCACCAGCCGCCTGGGCGACCTGTACGAGGAGGAGATGCGCGAGCTCCGCCGCCAGGTGGACCAGGTCACCAACGACAAGGGCCGCGTGGAGGTGGAGAGGGACAACCTGGCCGACGACATCGCGCGCCTGCGGGAGAAGTAAGCGGCTGCGGGGGAGGGGGGCGCGGGGGCGCGGCTGCGGACGTGGCCTCGGGTCCGCGGAGTTCCCCGGCTGTGGGGGCGGCGTGGCGTGCCCTGGGCGCTCGTCTCTCCTTCAGTGAGTGGCTTGCCTGGGGGCCGAGATGAGCAATAGAAGCCTTCCTTCCCAAGCGCAGGTGGTGCCTCTACTACTCTGCACGGGCTCTACTACTTTCCGTAGGAAGAGATCGCTCTACTGCACCAGGCAGCAAGTTGCGGTCTGCGGGCAGCCACAGCTGCCGGCACGAGGACTGCAGCTGTTGAGTTAGATTGGGAAAGCGACGCAAGCAATGCCTTTTCTCAGCTGAAAAGTTGTCCGAAATTACTTGGGCAGCATATTCTTTTTAATAAAGTATTTTAGACTAGAAGTTACAAAGGCTGTGCGCTGTAAGTGCCATTGGAAGAGGCAATCCGTTTCTTTTTGTAAGAGGATGATACGTTGAAATTGCCCTTTCAAGAAGTCTCCTGCTGTACTGTGGGTGTTTGGCGCCTAACAACAAAGAAAACGCGCTTCTTGCATTGGAAACACGTGTTCTCCTGGGCAAATCTGCACAGGCTACTCCTGTGCTAAACTGATTAATGTTCTACAGTATCCCTTATTAAGAGTAGGAGAGTAGATTTGTGCTAGTCTTGCACAAATACAGAATTGTAACAATTCCTTCCTATATCAATCAAAATCTTGTGAGTCAGTCACATGGGTTGATTCAGAATTTATCACTTTGTATTTTCTATGGAAAATCATCTTTTGAAGGATACCCTGTGTGCAAAAGTTCAAACTTTTCTAGAGTTGAGCCTGTGAAAGAAACTTTGCTGCTTGTTGGAATTAATATGGCTAATGTCTTTGTTGAAAAATCCTTTGGTTAGCTTCCCCTCTTCCCCCAGTCAACACCAAAAAGAACAAATGGTGATGCTGTCTGTCTGTCTTCATTGTGTTGCTCCTCGGGACAAGTCTAAGAAAGCTTATTTGTAACGGATTTGTTTTAAGTGGGGTGTGGCTCCCTCCCAGATAAGTGTACGTAGGAGTACAGCTCTTGGGTCCTATCCTGTGTAGATTTATACATCTAGTGTGCTTGAATTTACACATTCAATTGCAGTATTTCATCTACTGGATTACTCTGGAGCTAGTATGTGCAAGATTGTAACCTAATGCTTACTTGGGAGTGTGCATTTCTGCTGAAGTGTGTGTAGCTTAACTTCTGCACCCTCAGTGTCTGCCCATGTCTGCATCAATTTATTCTGGTACTTTAGTCATGTGGTTGCAAGCTACTGCTGATTTGCCACGTCACATCAGAATTACCAGGTCTGGATCAGGGCTAACTCTGAATTACTGGTTGGGGAAGCTGATGCAGCTTTCTGAAAACCTCCAGTTTAAGCAGAATGTGAATTTGTGCATTTAGGCAAATAACCCACAGTGTAGGTCAGGTTTTCTGCTTAGTTAGTTGATTAAGTTGAGTGGGCAGAATTTTTTTGCAGGGCTAGTGCCAATTTTCTTGTGCAATTAATGTGGCTAGTACAGCAGATTTGCTTCGTTTGGGCAGAAAGTAATAAAAATGGAGTCACACAAATCCAGGAATGAAATGCTTTTGTCTGGGAGAGTTCCCTTTCCCATCCTTTTCTCCTTCCCCCTCCCTCTTCCTTTCTCTCATGGAAGTGGCTGCCTGTCTATTCATTCTTTTTTCTTTCTTGGTTGACTTGTTTAGCATCTTTGAACACATCTTTTTTTTTTGTATAGACTTCAAGATGAGATACTTCAGAGAGAAGAAGCTGAAAATACTCTCCAGTCTTTCAGACAGGTTTGTAACAGTTTTCGGTTTTTGTAAAAAGTTCTTAACTTATGCAAAACCTAGAGCTTAGAGTTAGAAGGGGAATCTAAGCCACCTAGTGGTTGAACAGAGACATAGCAATACTGATTTTCTGGCATGAATTCAAATAAGCACTCATGAAGAGCCTAGATATTTCTTTGACAACAGCTTTGTTTTGCTTCTGACAAATCTGTGCTTTGGGTATCTAAGCAATACTGACAAGCCATCATGACAAGCTGCCATACTGAGTAAATCTTTTTTACTTGTACATTTCTGTAGATCTCCTGTTTAAAAGCAGTAGAGTTATCTGATATCACTTTTCATGGACACTGCATGTGATGAAATGGACAGCAGGCTATGAAAATGTATGGCAGAATAAATCTGTTAGTCTTTAAGGTGTCACAAGTCTCTTGTTTTTGCTGGAACAAACTGACACTACTCTCTGGATTGTTACAAGCACCTAAGTACTATTGTGTAGGAGTATATTTATTAATACCAAGTACATCGGGGCATGTGTTTTGTGGGGGGTGGGCATGTGCTGGGTTGGATCCAGTCCTGGTCATAGCTAGAGCAGACCCATTTAAAATAACTGAGACAAGTAAATCATGACTGACTTGGTTCCCACTGATTGATTAAATCTAGCTTTGCCCCACTGTCTAGTAGCCTTGAAAAGTAGTGGGCGTGTCTCACTGAGGGTACCTCTTGAGTTGGGGACTGAGATGCATGAAGTGAAAACTTTTTGCTCATGATCTTGCTCATGGTGCTGAGTTATACTAGTGTACCCCAATGTCTATGCTTCTGCGCATGAAAAAAGATTTAATCTTAAAATTGGTAGTTTTCCCAGACTGTTTAGAAGCCTAGTATTGTTTCTGCATTATCAAAGTCTAGCCCTGTTACACAGAGAAGCTCTGTGGAATCCATTTTTCTGATTGATAAGGGTGAAAGACAGCCATCTGTTCGCTTGGCTGAAAGGTATTAATGGTTTCTATGGGGCTGACCAGGGAATGCAGATGCCGGCATTACAGCAAGTGTGGTGGCAGCAGATTGAAATAATAGAAGCCTTTGTATTCTGGGGTGCTTATAGCAGGCTGCATTCTTATTGAATGTGTAATGATGCAAGCATATTTTAGAAACCCACAAATTAAAAGCACTGGCCATTTTAGCTAGTCTAGTCTCTAAGTAGCATTGAACATGATTTTTAACTGATTATGCTTCTTCCAGTGAAGCTAGCCTAAAACCAGTATCTCACAAAAGGGATATTACATTAGGGCTGAGTTTTTAATACTTCAGTTTGTTCCCTTTCAGTCTGGAAGGGAGGAAAATGGGTGCCATCAAAAGCTGCTCTCCATTAGTCATTTGAAGTAGAGTTCTTTTGTTAGACTGGCAGCAAAAGAAAAAATGGTGAATTTACATTTTCATACTTGTATAAGCTATTTGTGTGGCACTTTTGTCCTTTGAGGAGACCTAACTTTTATTGGTGGAGAACTTGGAATAGTTCACTTTTTATTGAGTTATTAAAATGAAGCTTTTGGTTTGTGTTAAAACTGTGCAGGGCAATTTAGTTTTCAAGGACCAGTTCTCAAGCCTCTCTGTTTCTAAGGAGAAAGGGGTGCTAATGAGATCCTTGGAAGCAATTGTAGCTGCAGCAAAGCAAATAGGATGTCTGAGATGGGTGGGGCAGTAGTTATGAAATAAGTTGCATTTGGGCAACTTGCAACCCACATCTATACAGGTTTAGGGTCTATTTAAGAATGTTTCAGGTTTTGAACCAGATGCTCATAATTTGGTGTGGAATAAACAGCCTTAGTCTGCAGTCCTGTGTATATGATTTACTGATAGTAAGTCTCAGTGTCAGGAACTGAATGGCTTCTATGATTGTGTTCTAAGTTGGTTTGAGGCCTTCAAGCAATGGAAGGTGAAATTAAGGGGGAATCTCACTGCATAGCATAAGTAATACGCATGGCTTTGCAACTATTTTTTGTGTCTTGCTGTGAAGGTGAGATTCCTGCAGATTTAAAATTAAGGATGTCTACCAGTATGGACTTCCCTAGCCTATTTTCATCACTATCTTTTGGCAGGCTGGAGACGTCATAAGCTGAGCTCTTAACCTTGGATTCGGTAGCTATCTGGGTTTAAAAGACCAAAACTAAAACTGGTCTACCTAGAGGCAATAACATTAGCATCAAGCAGGAAATTTAACTGGAGAACATTAAATACTATTTAAAGAAATGCAGTTTAAGAGGTTGCCATGATGATTGCATGAACTGATAATTTTGATCACATGTGGTTCTGATGGATGAGAGATGGAAGCCTTGCACTGGGTGATTATATGCACTGCTTGTGGAAACTTATATGATAGCTACAAGATGAGATGTAGAATAAGTTGGAGATAAAACAAGGCACATGTAGCTGACCACACTGATACCATGAAAGCAGGAAGGGGAAAAAAGCTGGGCTCTGCGAAATGATACGATTTCCGCTTGGCACAGTCCTGCACGTTACTTTTCGGTGTAGTTCTAGGCATGCTTAAATAGGAAAATGTGCTACAAGTGCTAGCATCACTGGCTGGACATTGTGGGGAATTGTAGACCTTTTCTCTGCCTAAACATGCTTGAAAACTTTAAAGGCTAAAGAACCACCAAGGCTGTGGTCCACCTTAATACTTACCAGGAAGTAAGTTCCATTGAGCTCCATGGTGCTTACTGTATTTTTCGCTCTATAAGACGCACATGACCATAAGACGCACCTAGTTTTTAGAGGAGGAAAACAAGAAAAAAAATATTCTGAATCAAATGGTTTACTAAACTATTTAATAAACTATAACAGAATACAGTAATACCGTATTTCAACCTTGTAAAGTGAACAGCAGTCAACAGTGGCATTAAGAACCACCATCACTGTCATTAACAAAAGAGAGACTTTAAAGTTCGAGTACTCTTCTAGTTTTCGTTGAACCCATAGAACTCATCATCACTAGAGTCAGAATTTATGAAGCTCTGTTGCTCACAATCACTGACATCACTTTCTTAGTCAGTAGTGGAATTATTGAAGGAATCCACAATCTACACCAGTTATACAAGAGCTGCTGCAGACAATTCAATAACAAATCTAAAAAAGCCAGTAATGCCCACACTGCCCTACCAGTAAATAATAGAAAAAAACTTCTGACAAAAAATGAGATATTGTACGGTAAATCAAACACACAGCGGACTAAGTAGCCTTTGAAGAATAAACTTCATACACGAAGGTAGTGCTGTTCAAATATCCACTGATCCAAAAAAAAATGTGTCTGATCAACTAACAGATAACTGATCCATGGAAGCTTCCGGATAATCACAGGCACATTCCCCATCACTTCCCCATGGGCTTCATTAAGACGGGTTGCCATTTGAAAACACACCAACCTGTGATTAACAGCTCTCACCTGCGCCGGAGGAGGGGAGCAGAGCAGGGTGTGCCGAGCGCGTGCCGGCCAGGTGGTCTTCCGGGCGGCGCAGCGGCAGGTCTTCCCGGGCAGTGGGGGTGAGCAGTTCCTGGGCGGTGGGGGTGAGCAGTCCGTCTCTCCGTGCAGCCGGTGGGTTAAAGCCCGCGGCTCCTCCTCCTCTGCACCTCTCCCCCTGAGCAGCACAGCTCTCACCTGTGCCAGAGGGGGGGTGTGGAGCAGCGCACGCCAAGTGTGCGCTGCCAGTTGGTGCCATGTGGTGCAGGTGGCCGGCAGCGTCCCGGGCGTCAGGCACACACACATTCGCTCTATAAGACGCATAGACATTTCCCCTTACTTTTGAGGGGGGGAAAAGTGCGTCTTATAGAGCGAAAAATACGGTAACTTTGAGTAGGTGAGTTTGCTTGTACTTTAAGCTTTTCTCCAAGGCATTATAGCTTAAATGTAGCATTTTACAGTTACACATTTATAAGGCTTATATTTATAAGTGTTAGAAATTACGAACTTAAAAGCTAAAACTTCAACTTACAGCATTAGAAGGGTTTGCCAATTAATGATTGATCCAGAATTTAGGAGTTCTTTTTCTAGATTCTAAAGTAATTGAAAGTAAAACCCATTAAAATCAAATTGCAAAGGGATAACTATGTCTAATAATTTCATAGTGCCTAGAATTCTTTGTCTAATGGAGGGATCTTAGAGCAAAGAATTCAAAATCAAGTGAAAGTAAAGTGACACTTGGACGATGTGGGGAGTGTGCGCGCCTTGATCTCCATTGCGTGGACATCTGTGCTGCAGTCCACCATTCCTCAGTAAGGGATGGAGAGTCTCGGCTGTTAAGGAGCAGACATAAAACTAATTCTGAAATTATCCTTCTCATTTTTCATCCAAAATTTTTTTCCAAAAATCAAGGCTTGAGTGAATACAGACCATTGCCAAAATTGAGAAGAGTATGTTCATCATCATCATTGCTTTGCATTTATATTCTGCCTTTTTTCCTCTTGTGGAAAAGGTTGCTCCTCACAGAAACCACCCTGTGAGATAGGCACACCCAGTGAGCTTCATGGCACCCAGATCTCCTGTTTCCCCAGTCCAACACTAACCACTGCAGCACCCTGGCTCTCATCATTAAACCATCAAAACCAGCATTGAGCCCCTTTGGGATGCAGTACAAAGTCTGAGAATCCACACAGTCTCTTTCATTAATAACTTTCCCCCCTATTCTTATCTACAGTTTATGCATAATCATTCTAACTTTAAAACAACTTACAAGGACATTTCACAATGTAAACCACACTGGGACTGGCAGAGGTTATGAAACAGCTTAAGCAATATCCCCATGAGATACTGGCATCCCCAGAAGACATGATTTGCAGTGTATATGTATAGTATGTACAGTGTCCACAAAAACAATGCCCCATGGGTCAAGCAGCACCTAGGAGAACATTAGAAGTTATCCAGGTTCCTTGCACTGAATTTCTCCATTTCTGTGGTCTCCATTTCTAGCTTGCTACCAAACTCCCTCTTGGCTCCACTTAAATTTAAAGAAGTTTTTCTCAAGGGAGAAAGAACCAAAAGCTGTAGAGAAGTGGAATGAGAGGTATTTGACCTAGCCATTCATGAGGTGTGTGAGTATATCAGTGGAGGGAGCATTGCTGAATGGCTGAACATGCAGTTTGCAAGGAAAAAAGTCCCACGTTCAGTCATAAGCATCTTTAACAGACAATATTGTCGAAAGCAGGCTGAAGCACCTATGCATATTTGCCTGTGCTACAGTGAATGGGCTAGTCTGTCTTGATACATGGAGGCTAGCTTTATGCTCAAGCTAGCCTAGGTGGATTGCTAAACGGTTTCTGGAATCCTGAATCCACAAGCGCTTTCCTGGGAGTAAGCCCTGTTGAATGCAATGGGTCTTCTAAGTAGATAGATGAGATTGTACTGTAGCCGCCTTCCTGAAGAGGTTAGATAACATGGCTTAAATGTTGAGAACCAACTTAAACTTTTGTGCCTGGTATATCTACAGCAGTCCAAAGAGTTGGATCACTCGCCCATCACGTTTTGTGCCATTAGCACTGCCTGGCTGCAGTGCTCCATGGGTTCAAGCAGCAGGGTTTTTTTCCATTCTACCTGTGGATGCAGGAGGTTAAATTGGGACCTTCTGCACCCAAGGCAGGTGTTCTGTTCCCAAGTTACCACCCTGCCTAAGCAATGGCTTTTCCCTTCCATGTGGATGTGAAGTACTCAGTCCACCTCAAGACTACATTTTACAGTATGTATTCACCCCAAGTTTGATTGTGACCTCCTAATTAAGGCTTTAATTATGGTTCTGCTTGCTGAGGATGGTGGGTGTTGTAGTTCAGTTTCGGGTAGGCAGGCTTAAAGGATAAGCCCCTGTTCAGCTCAGGTAAGACACTGGGAAGGTAAATGAACAGTGCCCTATTAAATCTGTACAGGTTTCCAAAAAGTTTTAAGTCCTCTGCTTGGCATTCTAAACTCTATAGATGTGTCTTAGATGCACTTCTAAACACTGATGACTGGCCTTCAGACACAAAATACAGCTTTGTAACACTGTAGCCTTAATTCCTAACTGCTAAGAATCCCACCTCCAACTCTGCTTCAGCCTATTTGGCCTTTTCTGTCCTGTTAAATTTCCTGCCTCTTCATCTGTCTCTGCTTTTATTTAGGTTTCATTTCACAAGTACATCTTTCCACATTGTATTGTTGAGAGAGATCCTGCCGTGGAGTAACCAATTTCCTTCCCCTGCATCAATCCCAGACTAGCAAAGTATCTGGTGTGCTGAGAGTCCCTATTAACAGTGTTGCATTTGGAAGTGTGGTCTTAGGTCACAAGTAACTGAAGGGAAATGTTGCCTGGGGAAAAATAGGAACCCCCCCCCCCCCGTTTTTTCCCTTTTTCCCCGGGGGTTTTTTTTTTTTTTTTTTTTGAGGGTGGGACATGTTTTTATACATTTTTCCAGTTCTCCCTGGAAATTTTTTCTCATTTTTTGTACACTGTCCCCATACATTTGTAGTGGATGGGTTAGAAAAGTCTTTAATAACCTTTTTATTTAAACATCATTTTAATTGCTAATATTATTTATTTATTTTACATCTTTGGCCAGGTCGTCTCAGATTATATTGTTGTTATTTATTTATTGTGAGCCGCCCCGAGGCTTCGGCGAATGGGGCGGCATAGAAGCTTCCTAAATAAATAAATAATACAAAATGATGTTGTGTTTTTTGGGGTGGGAGAAGTGAGGGACGTTTTCTGGACTTTCACATCTGAATAATGCACTATGTTTTTGACTACTACTTATTGAGGAGAGACTGGGCCTTGTGCACTAGCTAGTGAAGCTTACTCTAAAGTAATTTGGATAGGGTTGGATGTATTCAGTGTATTGTGCATTTCATGCTGGATGTCTTGAGAAGAATATGAATCCTTACTGTTGACTTAGATTCATCCTGGCTAAGCTGTGAGATTTGAGCATGAAATCAGCTTTCTAAACCTGTGCAGCTCAGTTCCTGTGTGAAATGGCTGGCTGTCCTGCACAGGGTGTAGGAAACAAAAGTCTGATATGAGCGCTAATCTCATCACATGCTGCCAGATATGCGCATTATCTCTGCTTTTGTTGCTGCAGAGCCTGCTACATATGCAATTCATTTCCTGTGTGGCTGCTCTGCCCTGCCCTGCCCCGCCTTCACCTACAACAGAGATTCTTTAAGGATGCCAACATCTCTTTATGTTCAACTTGTTTGGCCTCGCAATTAGAGTGCAGCAGTCTAGTCTGGGCCATTTATCAATGGCTCTATGAAATAGCACATTGTCACATGTTAAGTTACTTGGGAAAGGTCCTTCTCTCAATCCCACCACCACTAGAAGCTCATCTGGCAGGAATGTAAGGGAGGACTTCCTTGGTGGTTGCATTCAGCCAGTTTTCTGGGTGAGTTGTCACTGTTATTCTTTTGCCTGCAGGCACACCCTTTTTTTTTTTTTTTAGTTGAGACCAGTGTTTGGCTTTTGAGCTGACTTATTTTCTGAAAAACGTTTTAATTAGAGTGGGTGGGTGCGGTTTCTTTTATTGGTGTGTATTTAATCTGTTTTTATGGTCTCCTCGCCTCACATTTTATCTGAATTTTATAATTGGATGTGCTATTTTTAGTGGAAAGGCAGGGTATGAATGGAATAAATAGCTGGCTTTTGTTGCATCTTAGCAGGAGTCATAAGATTCTTTGGATTCCCAGAGCTGAGATCAGGGACGAAGCTCTAACCTTGGAGTTGGGGATCTGTGCTCTGAACCTTACAGCCAGCATATGAAGAACTGTGCCAGCTGCTTCTGCAAGGTCATAAGAGTGACCACTCTAGCTAGTGCTAGATGGCTGAAATCAGCCCGCCTTGCAGGGCGGACCAAGCAAAGAGGCAGAGGCTGTCTCGTCCACATCCTCAGCCCTGCATGGGATGCCCCAAATTCTCTGGGCTTGTGGGCATTCTGATTGGCCTGCATCAGAAGTGGCATGATATCACTACATTCCTAGGATCAACCCAAGATATTTTCAGCCTACAGCAAAAAAACAAAGGAGCAGTGAGCCTCATTTTATTCCTTACGCAGAAGGGCTGCTCCAAGTGCTTTCGTAACCTCATTATATTGTGCCAGGTAGGCTAGCGTTTGCCTTGGTGCAACTGAAGCTGTGTATTTAGTGCAGCACAGCAAGGTTAAGCCCTGAAGAGGTAGATGCTGGCATACATGGAAATAGAAGAGATGGGACCAGCAAGTGCAGTGTTCCAGTGTGGGAGCCCTTACCTGTTAAAGGGACTGCCTGGAGGGGGCGCCAGTCACACTGGCTTTCCAGAACATTCACGTTGCCCTGTGTTGACTGAGATTTGCTCCAGCTTGTTTCCTCAACTCACATTCAATAACTAAACTAAAACTGTGCAGAAATAAATTAATTTTTAAATGCTCAAAGTACCTTTTTCCAGCAGCCAAAGCTAAAATGCAATACTGAGTAAAGAATGGGATTGAACACAATGTTAAAAAAGATCAAACTTGACTTGGAAGTTGATATACTTTAAGACATGAACATGACTGTTTAGTAGTGTATCCCTTACAATGTTGAGATTTGAAGAAAAACAAATACTGAGAGCTATTACTAATCTTAATATGCTTGAAGAGCTGTGTGAGTTTCCTAGGAATAAGCACCTAGAAAAAATGATTTGGAACTTTAGTATCAGTAAAATCTAAAATTAATGTTACAAAACAGTATGTTTCTAAAAATTGAGAACTCTCTGCCAAAATGATGGTAGTTTTTTTCTCCAATTAGTTTCTTCTCCAAAATCTTCATGGAAAATTGTAATGCACACATGTGCAGCACTTTGCACCATTCTTAAAGGAAACGGGATCTGGCCACTGCTTCCTCCACAAAGTAATTGCCTTGTGCTTCATGATATTGGGCTAGATCCATATTCACTACTACTTAGACATAGAAACAGTGTGAGTTGGAAGTGGCCTCCCAGGCCATCTAGTCTGACCCCCAGCTCCGCTCATGACATGCCTACCATGTGCATGTCCAGCCTATCCTTGAACAAAGTTAGCTTGCTCCAGTTAGCTTCTGAAGTTTACTGAGGGTGTTCTTGCTTTGCTTCCTCAGGATGTTGACAATGCCTCCTTGAACCGTCTGGACCTTGAACGCAAAGTTGAGTCCCTGCAAGAAGAGATTGCCTTCTTGAAGAAGCTTCATGAAGAAGTAAGTTGACTGGGGCAGCTCTTGGAATGCCAATTCCTTGAAAAAGAATATCATTCAGAAATGTTTCTATGACGGGTGTCTTTCTTTCTATAAGGAAATCCGTGAGCTTCAGGTTCAAATCCAGGATCAGCATATCCAGATTGATATGGATGTTGCCAAGCCAGATCTTACTGCAGCTTTGCGGGATGTGCGTCAACAGTATGAAAGTGTTGCCGCCAAGAACCTCCAGGAAGCAGAAGAATGGTACAAGTCCAAAGTAAGTGAAAGGCTTAGCTAAACTCCCATCCATACCACATCTTACTTACAGGTTTTCTCTATAAAATCTTTATGGAAGAAATAATACGCAGTTCCACAGCTTATGACAATTCTGTCATTCCAGTGTTGGTTAGCTGAATATGAATGAAAAGTATTTGTGAATCTAAAACGGGCCTCAATACCATAAACATTCTGCCTTAAGCTATGGAACCCCTTCACCTTCATTTTGGAATGCTGAATTCTCATGTTTATTGAATTTATGCTGGACTTCTGTCTCAAAACAGATCCAAAGTAGTTCATATCTTTCAATAAAAATAATCAAATACACACAATTAAAGAATCATTCCATTAAAATTGAGAACAAATGACGTGTGCAAGAACTCTTGCATATGTACATAAAGTACAAGTGCATTCTAGAAATGTCCACTTTTTGATTAAAAAAAACAACTGATAGTCACTTCACTACGTCAAAACACTCAACCAAAAATTTTGTTACACTCTAGAATATAGATAAAATGAGGAATCTGCTTGGTGTTCCTTGGGAGTAAATTTGTTTGTTTGTGGAGTGCTTAGAGAATGCTGGGAACTGTGTGTATAACCCTGAGAATTCAGGCCTTCTATGAATATATTCCCCATAAAGCTAGAGGCTGCACTGTATGTTAAACTTGACTTGCTTTCTTTTCATTGGATTCAAGCACAGGTTATTTGCTCCTTTGCATCATGCCCTGTCCTGAAGGGGAAATTGCAGGGCAAAACATGTTAGTCTTGTGCATTGTTGCTATGCAACATTAGTGGATGGGTTTGATTATGTTGTTGGTAGAGGCTGGAATTCTGTGGGGATGCCTCTGTATTGAAAACAAAAGCCCTACATGTAAGAACAAGAGCTCAGGTTGCAGTTTTGCAAAACAAGCTGGCTAAAATACAGGGAATTTTTTAATAATATGTGGGTCTCAGTGAATTTTAATTATGTGCAGACTATTCTATGAAAAGACACTTGTCCTGAAAGGTCTGAACCTGTAGCTGAATTCTACTGATTGAGGACGACACAATCCTATTGCCTCCAAACATTGTCGGGGAATGGTTGTAGGATTATCTGGATCAGTTCCAAGTCCCACTGGGACAGTGCATGTCTCAGCCCTGTTCTCCTCACAGCCAGTACAGAAAGTACATGCTGGCTACCTCTCTGAGGATGCAACGGGGCCTTATTGTTGCCCCAGCCTCTTCCCTACCCCTTACTAGCGCTAAATCTAGAAATGACCATCCAAAGTAAATATGCAGTGTCAGGCACCACAGCAAGAAGATCATCATGACCACACTTTGTTTCATGCATTGGATGCACATAAGCCTCAATGTTTGGAGGTTATGTGCATCTCCCTTGGAATGTGTTGGTTTGTGCCCTAAGTGATCTAGTAATAATAAGTCTTTGTAGTAGCTTGTAATTGCTTAGTCCAGAGGAGAGGCATTTGAAGCATGGGGGCTGGGTTTGGCCCTCTTGCAGGATCAGTCAGGCCCTCCAGGGTTTTCCACCCTTTTTCCCAGTTGCCACTTTTCGGTTGTTTCCTGGCTTTTCAGTTGGCATTCTAAAATGCATCACCTGTGGCCTAATTTCTGGCAAGAAGAGCTTTAAGCTAAAAGAGCCTTGTAGCTTTTGCACATTTAGAACTGCCCCTTGTCCTCAGCCCCACCCCCCACTTAAAACATGACCGCCAAATGCTTCTCCAAAATGAATTGAATCCTTGTGGTGAAACCCTTGTGCTGGCTTTGTCCTTGGTAGAATACATACTGGATTCTAATACACCTGCAGTGTTAATCTGGTTGTTAATGCATGTGCTGGTATTAGTTTGCAGATCTGTCTGAAGCAGCCACCCGGAACAATGATGCCTTGCGCCAAGCCAAACAAGAAGCAAATGAATACCGCAGGCAAATTCAGACTCTAACCTGCGAAGTTGATGCACTTAAAGGAACTGTAAGTGAAAAAGCTACTTGGAAGGGAATGCTTTTGCTGGCTTTCCCCCTAAATGTTCTTAGGTCTGTATTGTTTGTTAAGCAAAAGTACAGAATATAAAGCTCTTGTATTGGCAAAGAAGCTCCACTTATTGGTATATATTCACCTATTCATCTCCTTCAAGGTGCTCTCCATATGTTGGCTTGTAGTTTTACTCATTCCCAACCTACATGGTCATCTGGAAGGCACTGGTTTGGAAAAGGCTAAGTTAGGCCAATATTTTGTAGTCCTGCCTGGAAGTAGAGATGCCAGGGACTGTGCATAAGAAGTATGTGATCTACCAGTTAGCTATAGGATGTGTGCATTCATGAAATGAATTAAACTCTGAGGTGCTGGATGCTTCCTGTAGATCAATAAGTGCATCCTTCTCTCTCATTGCACTGTGCAACTTGTGAAGGAATTCTTGGCCTTGCTGATTTCTATTGAAGTAGAAAGAGAAACAGCTGAAGCATTACTGTTGCAAAAGTACACTTTAAGCCATTGATAGGAGCTTTTACCTGTATACACTGTTGGATGATGACTCTTGCTTGACACGTCAATGAGTGCTTTTGATCATCACTGCAGAATGAATCCCTGGAACGCCAGATGCGTGAGATGGAGGATAACTTTGCTGTCGAAGCTGCTAACTACCAAGACACTATTGCCAACCTCCAAGAAGAAATTCAGAACATGAAGGAAGAAATGGCTCGCCATCTGCGCGAGTACCAAGACCTGCTGAATGTCAAGATGGCCCTTGATATTGAGATTGCCACTTACAGGAAACTGCTGGAAGGAGAAGAGAGCAGGTACAAAACATGTCTGGTGCGCCTCTGGCAGGGAAGCCTGGAAACGGCTACAGCTGTGCTCATTACATGTGATTTTTTCTTTTGTTTTTCTTGACAGAATTTCAATGCCTATTCAGACTTTTGCTTCCATGAATCTGAGAGGTAAGTAGCTGCCAGCCGTACTAGTAAATGGTACCTCTCAAAGCATTAGCAATTGCATTTAAAATGGTGTTACATAGTTTGTATGTGTGCCTTGGTCTTCATTGGAACTGCGGTGCTCCTATAGCATTGCCATGCCTTGCTTGTACCAAATATGTGTTCCAGAGTTGGGGTTTTTGCAGAGGTAAGTTTCACTGCAGTACTTCAGCAGTTGGTCCTATTTGTGGCCAGAGCATTGATTTGCATTTAGGTTTTCCTTGCTTTGTGATCAGAGAAAATGGATTCCCTGCATGCCTCTTGTTCTTCCTATTGGGAGGAGGAGCACTGTGCTGGGGACTCCGTTTGCTATCTCCGTCTGTAGTGGGCAATCACAGGGGGTGCTTCTCCCCACGGCTCCTCAACACCTGGTGGCCTCCAGGTGAGGAAGAGGGGTGTGGGTGGGGTTCAAGTAAGGACCACCACACCTCCATGGACCAGATGGAGGGCAGAGGTTCCCCAACACTGCCTTAGTGGTTTGCACAGCCCATCATGTAGCATGCCACCGAAGTCAGCATCACTGCCGGGCGTTTCTGATGTGAGTGACCGTTCTGTAACCAAAGTCTGAACTATGATCTGACCTTCCCTCCACAGAAACAAACCTTGAGTCCATCCCACTGGACACCCACTCAAAGAGAACACTCCTTATCAAGACTGTTGAAACTAGAGATGGACAAGTGAGTGGTAGTAATACTGTTTGGGGGTGGGAGAAAGAATATGCGGCCTAAGTGTCCATTTCTGCTTTCATGCACAGTTAGAGTGGAAGCACTGTGGGCAAATACTAGTCACTGACGGTGAGGGAGCTTCCTAACCATCACACATTTGCAATGGGGAGAGGGGCATGCCTGAGTTCTTTCTGCAGCCTAACAGTTTTGGGGAAAAGATAATTGATGGGGAATGATCTTATGACCCTAGACATTCTCAGAGGGGCCATAGAATGGTTCAGATTCTCTGCAGTCTGATCTCAGAGCTGGGAATTGGGGCTTGGTGCCCCCTCCCCTGCAAAGAAAGAACAATGTTGGCTGTTGGCCATTGGGAAAGCAACCTCAAAGAGGGGGCAATTGCAGGGAGAGGAAGAGATTGGAGCAGTCAGAATATGGGCTGTCCTGGAGCCACCCAATCTCCTTCTCTCCTTCCCAAGTACAATATAGTGAAAACGTGGAGTGGGAGGAGGTTTGTGGTTTTCTCAATAGGATTGTGCCCCAAGCCAGTTAAATTGTACATTTCTGGACTGCAGCTCCCAGTCTTGCTGAAAAACAGCAGCAGCAACAGAACCTTTGCCAGGGTTCATAACAGTGTTTGCATTCAAGTTGTTTTACTAAAACATCAGATTTTGCATTTGTAATACTTGTGGTGATAGAAGGAAGGGAAAAGGGCTGATGATGAGGTATGGCTCTGTAGGTTGGGCATACTTCCCTAAAAGAGTAATATAGTGTTCCAGATAAGATTAGGAAGGCCACTTGTCCAGCGATTCATCATAAAGCTCAGTGCAGCTTTATGTCAGATAGTTGGTTCAGTTCAAAGCTTCCTCCACAATGAAGAAATTCCACACTGCTTGTATAGTGTAGCAATTCCAAGATGGAACAGTTGGTGCAGGCTGATGAAAGAAGACCAGCTGTCTCTGAACTGTAGAATTTCCATTCCTTCAGCTTTTTTCCCCACACTTGGCTTCGGGTGAGAAGTCTAGACAGGCAGCAGAAGGCAGGGAAAGCTTTGGCATGCACTTGGTATGCTTTTGAGTTCAGCACCAGCAGGGCTAGTAGAGTAGACAAGGTTAGAACTTCTGGAAGAATTGGGAGCTTAACTCTGGTACTCAGAACAAATGCCTCAGCTCAGCATCTGAAGTGTCTGCCTTTTGGGCTCCAGTTGGTGGGCCTTAGGATTCTAGGCAAAGGCAAAACCAGATTCAGCGGTCCTGATGATGTCCAGTCCTGTTTTTGGAGCATGCAACAAGCTCAGCTGAAATGTTCATATGGGATTTCTAGTCACTAGTTTAAAGTAGAGAAAAGATGCAGTCCACAAAAAAGTGCTGCAACTCCCATCATTCCCTAGTCAGTATGGGTTTCTTGACTGTGAAATAACCTAAGCATCGAGATGAATGAACTATTAGCTAATGTTCTGATATCTGATGCTGCTTGTTTTCAATAGGTTATCAACGAAACTTCTCACCATGATGAACTGGAGTGAAGAGAGAATAGCACAACTTCTTGTGCAGAAATGAACACTTACCAGCAAAACTAAAAAGAGCTTTCAAGTGCCTTTCTGCAGTTTATCCAAAAGTACAAGATGGAGATGCTAGACAACTAGGTCTTAGATCCTGATGGTTTAGCAGAGCTTTTGAAAAGGGAGTTTAGTAAAAAATAACAATATCCTGTACTGCAGTACTGTTTTTTAAGTTTCTGAATTAAATAAAATTGCTTTTTTCAGCACAGTATGAGTAACCTTTCACTACTTCAATAAACATTTGAGAAACTGCTTTCTTGTGTGGTCTGCTTTGTGGCTGGGCCTTGTCTGTTGTAGAGGTGGCAAGAAATGCATCTGTTATGACAGGATCAAACCACATAAGCATATCTGCTGCAGTGATCTTGGTTCCTGTCAGGATGAGGAGTTATGCAATAAGTATACTTTCATGGGGGGGGGCATTATGGGACAGGGGGATATTGTCTCCTTGAGCCAGTGTGGGAAACCTAGCATGTCCCCAGCATTCAAATAGCAATATTTTATTACTGACCAGTTGGGAAAGTAGTGCAAGATTCTTTTGTCGGGTCAGCTTAAAATGTGGGAAAGTAGTTTTGAAAGCAAGAAAGTAATTCCTTTCTCCTTTCAAAGGTTACTTCAGGAGCAGGGGACACATACCAGGACCTTAATGCCATCACTGTGCTGTAACACAGAAAACCTGAACTTGTCTCCAAATTTGCCTGGCAGTTGTGGCGGTGGAGATCGCTGAGTGACCTGTGAGGCCTCAATGCCTCTTCTGTGTGGAATGCAGAAAGGAATTTCCCTGGTGCCGAGGACCCTGGGAAATGTGATAAGAGTTGGAATACTTTATGGGGTGCTCAGGAAGCTGAATTTTCCTAGAGCACAAGGAATGTTGCCATGACATTATTCCGGGTTCTGAGGAGGCAGGGAGACCTTGCTGAGAGGTCTGTACACTGTCACAAACTCTTAGGAGGTTTTAAGGAATGGAATGCATGGCTAGCAGAGAGTGTTAAGCCAGATGCAAACATGCGGGGGCTTGAGTTGGAAGGGGTTTGTGATCTCACACAAGTAGAAGTTTAGCATTTATTGCAATATTAGTACAAGATTGCATTAATATTGTACCTTTTTTCCTCTTGTGAGGAGCCCAAAGGAATTTACAAGGTACTCTTCCACCCCATTTTATCCCACAACAACCATCTTCGGATACTGTGACTGACCTCAGTCACCCAGAGAGCCTCATGCTTGAGAGCGGACCAAAACTGGATCTCCCAGATCCCCATCCTGACACTAACCACCATGCCATAGCACTGTGCATAGCTACAAAATAGCCTATTGAATGGTGCTTGTCCAGCCATTGAAAGTGAGTTGTTGATTACATAGGATTCAACCCTTTGTCAATTATGAGTGTTGGTAGGTAAGATTTTCATCCGAGCCAATAAAATGCTAAAGCAAAAAGCATTCATTATTCCTGGATGATGGCGACACAATGTTCCTTGTGTCGGGCAGGTTTTCTCTTTCATTCAGTCATTTTCCTCTCATTGGAGAGAGGGAGTGGGGCCTACTGCCCCTCTGCATGTGAGAAGTGAAGTCGGACACTAACAAAGTTGGGATGGAAAGGAGAGATGCTTGCCTGATTTATAACCCTGATTGTACAAAGAATGGGATCTGTCTTCAGTGAGTGGTTTGCAGGAATCCCATCCTTCCCCTTTCATATTGCAACCACATGAGGAAAAGCAGGTGCTTCTACAGGGCTTGAGAGGAATGGGAATGCCTACTGCCATTTTGCTTGCTACCTCTTACCATTTTTTAAAAAATAAAGATGTTAAGATCTGCTACCTAATTAATCAGAGCACCTCTTCAGCAGATTTTTAAAAAAATGATCTAGGGTACATTCCTATGTAATGCCCTAAACTTGCATAGGATTGCATGCTAAACCATTAATGCATCCTTGAGTATGGTGAAAGAGATGCTCTTTTTCTACTTAAATGTACTACTTCCCCACCCCATCCTCAATAAACTGGGAAGGTTTGCATGACATACTAATAAACTGGGAAGGTTTGCATGACATACTAATAAACTGGGAAGGTTTGCATGACATACTAATAAACTGAGATGGTTTGCAGTACACCACCCAAAAAGCTTTGGCTACAGGTGGTATAGAAATGAAACCATAGCACAGTAAACCATCCTGAAATAGCAGTAGATGGACGGTCTATATATACATAACATACAAACATACTACACTGGCAAAGGCACCTCATTTCCTCCCGCTGTGGCATCAGCTTGCCCCCTTGCCGTCCCCTCCCACTCCCCACATCTCCATCCTTGGTAGAAACATCCCAACCTCACCAGAAGGTGGAATGCTTTTCTCTCTGGTTTCCCGCCATCCACCACTTAGGTTTGGCATGCTCACCAGCCTTCCAAAACCTTACACTTTAGTGCTGTAACATGGACGTCCTTCTTGATTAAGAATTTGGTATAAAAGTGAGTAGAGAATAAGACCTTCTTCAAGGCAGCAGAAGTCTCATTAAAATGGGATTCTTGCCTGCAGGTGGGATGGGGAGATGGGCAATGGAGTTGAGCTGGCAAATGGGTTAGGGGTGTGTTCCCTACCAGGACACTGGGACCTGGGGGAGCAGGGATTGAATAGAGTAAGGTGACTCTGCTCTGTGTTGACGAGCTAACTAAAACTCTGCAGAGGAAGTTCCCAGTCTATTCAACTGCTGAACGCTGAAGGGGGTGGTGTGGGCAAGGAGCACTGACTGTGGCATCACCAGTTGCCAGGCAGATTCTGGGATGGAGGAGACCAAGAGAGCTCTACTGCCAGGCACAGACTGGGAAAGCTGCCCGTGTAAACAAGACTCACTGTAGATGTCCACCTCTCTTGCCACATGACTTGCTAGCTGATCTTCCTGTGAAACCCAGGAAAGTAGCTAGATCTGAATGACATGTTAACCCACAGAAGGTTAAATAAATCATACAACAAGCCACGGTTGAAGTGGCTTATAAGCCACTTCACGGGAACAGTGCTGGGTTTGGACAATATGTTAACCTACCATGGCTTTTAACTCATGGGGGGTTAACCATGTCATGCAAATCCAGCCACTCTCCCCATGTATATATTTGTCTACATTTATTTATTTATTAAAACATTTCTATGCCGCCCCTTGCCGAAGCCTCGGGGCGGCTCACAGCACAGAATACAATACAATACAATACAAAAATAACAATATAAAACCAACAATATAAAATAGATAACAATATAAAAGAAGTCGCCCTGGAAGCAAATATTGTTAACAATTAAAATGACGTTTAAATAAAAAGGTCTTCGCCTGGCACCGAAAAACAAATAACGACGGCGCCAGGCGGACCTCTCTGGGGAGCACATTCCATAGATTGGGCGCCACCACAGAGAAAGCCCTCCTCCGAGTACCTACCCTCCTAATTTCTTTCACAGAGGGTTCCCGGAGAAGGGCCTCTCCCGCATATCGCAAGGGGTAGCTGGGCATATATGGATGTAAGCACTCCTTCAGGTAACCAGGACCCAAGCCATTCAGGGCTTTATAGGTCATCACCAACACCTTGAATTGGGCCCGGACTTCAACAGGAAGCCAGTGAAGCTGACGGAGGACTGGAGTCATGTGAACATAATGCCCAGTCCCCGTCAGCAGCCTGGCAGCTCTATTTTGAACCAACTGAAGTATCCGGACCGTCTTCAAGGGAAGCTCCACGTAAAGCGCGTTACAGAAGTCAAGGCGGGAAGTCACCAGCACGTGTGTCACTGTCGCCAGGCAGTCGTACTCCAGGTAGGGGCGCAGCTGATTAATCAGCCGAAGCTGAAGGAAAGCACTCCTCACCACTGCTGTCAACTGAGCTTCCAATGAAAACCCCCTCTGATTATATTATTACACACATTTTGCAAATGAAAACTATTAATCACATTTGGAGGCAGTTATTTTTGCCAGTTTGATGGTCAAGTGAAGAAAATCCTCAAAAAGAGAAACGACGATGAGCCTTGTGGCACCTTAAAGGCTAACTTGATTTATTCCTGCACAAACTTTTGTGGATACTGTCAACTTCCATCAGAAGCATGCAGGAGTAGCTTTTCTTTGATTGGTGTACATACACCTACTGGGGGGTGGGGAAGGAAGGTTTGGAGGAAGTGGAGAGGGAGATATTTTTCACCCTCTCTCACAATACTAGAACCCAGTGGGATCATCCCATGAAACTAATCGATGTGAGATTCAGGACAGATAAAAGGAAGGACTTATTTACACAACACATAGTTGGACTGTGGAATTCCCTTCTGTAACAGGTCTGAACCCCAAACAAGCCAGACCTGGGTCTCTAGCCCTTTAAGCTGCATGTTCCACTTGACATTAAAGTCTAGTTGCTTACAACCATACAAGAGAGCTTTAGTTAGCATCGCTCTGACCATGACAGTCTGCTTTCATGAAACTAGAGAGCTTTCCTTTCCTGATCCCAGGATGGCACAAGGACCTTGCACAGTGCCCTTGAACATTCCTTATCAGGTGTTACTTCTATGAGCAAGAGGCATAATGAGCCTACGCTTTGCTGCTCCGACAGAGACGAAACATCGGCCACCCACACAGGAATCCTCCTTATTAGCTCAGACTATTTCATTATCTCTTAACACCTGTGTAAACAATATTACTCTTAAACCCATATATTTTAATTCTATAGAATGCTGTATGCATACATTACAATGCCATAAATTTGAAATCTATAAAAGCTAGCCACTTTCTTTGTTCACTGGTTCAGAGTCTTCTCATGGGAGATTCTGATGTTTTTTCTGAACCCAGCTGATTGGAGTCCTACCTTGCAGGAACCCTCACTGTGTGGTGTAAGAGGCTTGCTGCTAAAAGTTTTGGAAGTCTAGCTAGCATGTTTAGATATTATTGTAATCATACATAATCTCTTTGCTTAGTAAACCTGGAATTGGCATATCACTCTCTGGAAATCATTAAAAAACCCTCTGCCCCCGGCCAAGGTTTTGGGGGGAGCCATCTTCCACGAGAGGTAGTGAGGGCCTCCAGACTGGATGAATTCATAGAAGACAAGGCTGTCCATGGTGACTAGGCCTAATGGCTGTCTGTTACCTCCAGAATCAGAGGCAACATTCCTGTGCACAGTAGTTGCTGGGAACATGGTTGAGAAAGAGCTGTTCTACTCATGCCCTGCTTCTGGGTTTCCTGTGAGGAACTTGTTGGTCAATGTGGGAGCAGAATTCTGGGTTAGATGGAACATAGTTGAATC